TTTTTTTTTTTTTTTTTTTACAAGAGCATGGGTCCTTTTCAAAACAACACTGCTGGGCCCTTCAAAAATACTGAGGAAGTTGTTAACACTGTTAATTTAGGGATGCTTTATTCTAAATTAAACCCACATTAGTAACTGTGTCCCCTCTAAGAGGCTGGATGGTGGAGGGAACTGGTGATAATAATACTGATGTTGATGGGCCTGATTCTTGTTTGCCCTAAAGCTACTTCATAAAATATTGATTCATAGATTGTTAGGAGCTGGAAGGGACCCCACCAGATCATTGGGTCCAGCCCCCTGCCCCGCACTAAGCAGGAAAGACAATCGGGGTCAGGTGACCCCAGCTAGGTGACCGTCCAGTCTCCTCAATGATGTTTTTAAGTGCTAGTGATTTATTTTTTCTCAAAAGTTAAAACTCCTCTGCATAGCTAGAGGAGTGCGAATTGGAAGCATAATATACGATAGTATGTATTTTGTGTATACAAAAATACCTCATGCAGCTCACATACAGAGCAATGCAGTAAAGAGAGCATCAAATTTGCAAAGTAAAAAAAAAAAAAAAAAAATCAGATATTAGAAATGTCAGATGTGTATTTCCCCACGCAACCAGAATTCTGTCCTTTTGTGTTTGTGTCTTACGCATCGAGGGAAGAGAGGCTGTAGTGGAAAAAATGACAGATGCTCATGCAAATAAAGCGTATATCATATGTGAATACACAAATAAACAGGCATAGCTACTTTTCTAAGTCAATCCCATGACCTTAAACATGTACAATCAAATTTCACCTCACATTTCATTTAGGTTCCATATGCTGTTGTATATCACTAACTCAATACCAATAGGTACTTAAAAGCTGTTTATGGGGGTGAATATATTCCTTACTTAACTGTCAATCCTCAGTGGATAAGTTTGAATCCATCTGCAGACATTTACTTGAGAAGGATGCGTTGCCAGCTAATTAAATGTTTATCTGAAAAAGTGCCACCAATCATCTTGAAATCTCTTTATACTAGTTAGTAGAAAGGCACAAGCAACGGAGGGAAAAAATCATATTAAATAATCATTCATAAAATGTGGTCTTTGTAGCTGTAGAATCCATTTCACATTTAGAATGCATTTTCTATGTTCATTCATGCCATTCTGCATAATAACTTTCTGCTTAGCAGCTAGGGCCTTTTGGTGTTCGGCGCTCAGTGCCTCCCCAACGCACATGCCCCTCGGTAGAGCTACCTCTGAGGCATATATCCCCTTCTTGCTGATCTGTTGTTATTCCCTGAGTCTTGAAGACATGGCACCAAACTCTGCTCTCATTTACACAAGAATAAACCTGGAAATATATTCCTGTTTCTCTGAATGTGAAAAACTGAATTGCAGTAGCTGTGGAGGACCAGATTTTTAAACATGATTAGTTACCCATCTTATTCTTTCAAAGGGTGTAAGATCCCTGGATAAAAATCTGGCCCTGAGTGCTCAAGAACTACATGCCAAATTCTGATTTCCCTTAGACCATAATAAATCAGAATGAAGTCAGCAGAGTAATTCCAGATTTTACACAAATATAGTTGACAGCATAAAATGGTCTCATGAGCTGGAACCAAGTCTCCTTTATACCAGTTGAGTTATATACACCAGTTATTCCAATGGTGCATGTGGAAGCCAAATCAAATTGTAGGGTGGTAGACTCTTTAGAGTATCGGACCAGGCTGATAGACATAGATAATAGTAGAGAGACGCCCTATAAAGTCCATGCATTTATATACATACTGTGAAGGAGACAAAATTACATTGCAATGACTTCAGTACTCAGATTGGTGGACAGGTTTGGGATTGCCCTCTAATAGCTTCCCAAATCACAATCAGAGAAATCAATTTATCCACGAACCTCTGCTTTTTTATTAAAAGAGTCTCAGAACATGGGTTATGTCACTCAGTTTAAAATTTGGGCAAGTTTAGACTTGCAAATGCTAGGACGAATGTATCAGAAAGCTTTGGTTTCACTCGGCACCAAGCTTACCTTCCTGACCAAAAGTATATGCTTGTTCAGGTAGAAGATGAAGACAGATAAATTCAAACTGGAAATAAAGCACAAGTTTTTTTCTAAGTAAATGTGATTAATTGTTGGAACAAACTGCTATGGGAGGTGGTGCATACTTTATCTCCATCTCTTCAGATTAAGAGTGATATCATGAGCTACAGGGCTGAATAAAAGAATAACTGGCTTAAATTATATGGCCTCTGGTATACAGGAAGTCAGACAGGACAACAGACCAGACTTTTGTGGATTTTTAAAGCCAGTATCATATAAGCTGGGTTTTTTAGGAATACAAGGTTTTAAGTGAACAGAGACTCATAAGACATTTTTTTCAGACCTAGAAGAGAAGATGGAATAATCAATTATATTGCTACTATTGTGGGATTAGAGTGTTGTTGCAGCTGATAACATTAAATATTATACTGCATTGGAACTTCCCAATAAAAATACCCACAGCACTTTTCATCTGTTGCTGTCAAAGTGCTTTACAAACCCTCTCAGTATATCCTAATTATGGGTGAAGAAATTGATGCAGAGGGGGGTGAAGTGATTTTTCCAAAGCCACCCTGCACAGTCAAGAACAGCATGGGTGACTGGTGCCTCCTGAATCTGGGGGGGGCACCTGCAGAAGCCGCTGATCCTGTCAGGGGGGGCACCAGCCCTACCAACAGCATCAGTG